GTCGGCTGAGGTGAGGCCGCGCCGCCATCTTGGGCTCCGTGAGGGGCCCGAGGGGCCTGAGGGGATCCGGGGGCTTTTTTCGCCTCAAAGTTCCATAATTCCATAATTCTCATAATTCTCATAATTCCTCAACCCTGGAATGTTCGTTTTTTTGGGTTTAAGATAAAGGATGGGGTTTCAGAGAGCTCAGAATGAGGCCACACCGCCATGTTGGGCGCCGTGAGGGGCCCGAGGGGCCTGAGGAGATCCGGGGGCTTTTTTCACCTCAAAATTCCATCATTGCATAATTCCCATAATTTCCCAACGCCAGGGTGTTCAGTTTTGAGGGATTTAAGATAAAGGATGGGGTTTCAGAGAGCTCGGAGTGAGGTCACACTGCCATGTTGGGTGCCGTGAGGGGGAGCTTTTTCCACCTCAGAATTCCATAATTCCATAATTTCATAATTCCCATAATTTCCCAGCTCTGGGATGTTTGTTTTTTTGGGATTTAAGATAAAGAATGGGGTTTGGGAGAGCACTGAGCGAGGCCGTGCCGCCATCTTGGGCGCCCTGAGGGGCTCGAGGGGCCTGAGGGGATCCAGGGGCTTTTTCCGCCTCTAAATTCCATAATTCCATAATTGCATAATTCCCATAATTTCCCAACGCCAGGGTGTTCAGTTTTGAGGGATTTAAGATAAAGGATGGGGTTTCAGAGAGCTCGGAGTGAGGTCACACTGCCATGTTGGGTGCCGTGAGGGGCCCGAGGGGCCTGAGGGGATCCGGGGGCATTTTCCACCTTAAAATTCCATAACTCCATAATTGCATAATTCTCATAATTTCCCAACTCTGGAATGTTTGGTTTTTTTGGGTTTAAGATAAAGGACGGGGTTTGGGAGAGCACTGAGCGAGGCCGTGCCGCCATCTTGGGCGCCCTGAGGGGCTCGAGGGGCCTGAGGGGATCCAGGGGCTTTTTCCGCCTCTAAATTCCATAATTCCATAATTTCATAATTCCCATAATTTCCCAACTCTGAAATGTTCGTTTTTTTGGGGTTTAAGATAAAGGACGGGGTTTGGGAGAACTCAGAGCGAGGCCGCGCCGCCATCTTGGGCGCCGTGAGGGGCCTGAGGGGATCCGGGGGCTTTTTCCACCTCAAAATTCCATAATTCCATAATTTCCAAACTTTGAGATGTTGGGTTTGAGGGTTTAAGATAAAGGATGGAGTTTGGGACAGCTCAGAGTGAGGAATCACCTCTGTCATTGCTTTTTTCCCATTAAAACACCCGGTAGGATCCCAAAAAAAACCCCACGAAAACAACAAAAAACCAAAAAACACGCCGCAAAACCAACCAAAAAAACCCCCAAAACCCCATAAAACCAACCAAAAAACTCATAAAACCAACCAAAACCTTCTCCATTTTCCATCTTTTATTCCCAAGAAAAGCAGTTCCATAATTTTTATTACTTTTTTTAGGATTAAGTAAACAGATAAAACAGTGAAGAGCTCAAAGTGTGTTGATCCCAAAAAACCCCCGAAACAACCCAAATCCAGCTCGATTTTCCAGCCTTTTATTCCCAAAATGAATCATTCCACAATTCCACGCTGCTGGTTTTTAGGATTAACCCAAAAAAATGGAATTTTGAAGAGCACAGCCTCCATCCCTCCTCCCTCACTCCCTAAAACCACTAAAAACCAAAACCAGCCCCAAACCCACCCAAATCTGGCTCCAATTTTTGATATTTTATTCCCAAAAAGCCACGGAGTGAAGGGTGGAAAATTAACAAATGAGCAGATAATGAAATAATTCAGCATTTTTAGTGGTTTAAAAGTTTTTCCCCATTTTTCAGCCTGTCGGGGGGTGCTCCGTGGGAGGAAAATCCGGGGGGGGAGGGGGGGGGGGGGGGGTCGGCTGAGGTGAGGCCGCGCCGCCATCTTGGGCTCCGTGAGGGGCCCGAGGGGCGTGAGGGGATCCGGGGGCTTTTTCCGCCTCAAAATTCCATAATTCCATAATTCCCATAATTTCCAAACTCTGAGATGTTGGGTTTGAGGGTTTAAGATAGAGGATGGAGTTCAGGAGAGCTTACAGCGAGGCTGCACCGCCATCTTGGGCACCGTGAGGGGCCTGAGGGGATCCGGGAGCTTTTTCCACCTCAAAATTCCATAATTCCATAATTTCTGGGATGTTGGGTTTGAGGGTTTAAGATAAAGGATGGAGTTTGGGACAGCTCAGAGTGAGGAATCACCTCTGTCATTAATTTTTCCCTGTAAAAACACCCGGTAGGATCCCAAAAAAAACCCCACAAAACCAACCAAAAAAAACCCAAAAAACTCATAAAACCAACCAAAACCTTCTCCATTTTCCATCTTTTATTCCCAAGAAGAGCAGTTTAATAATTTTTATTACTTTTTTTAGGATTAAGTGAACAGATAAAACAGTGAAGAGCTCAAAGTGTGTTGATCCCGTTTTTTTGGGGTTTAAGATAAAGGACAGGGTTTGGGAGAACTCAGAGCGAGGCCGTGCCGCCATCTTGGGCGCCCGGAGGGGCCTGAGGGGATCCGGGAGCTTTTTCCACCTCAAAATTCCATAATTCCATAATTTCCAAACTTTGAGATGTTGGGTTTGAGGGTTTAAGATAAAGGATGGAGTTTGGGACAGCTCAGAGTGAGGAATCACCTCTGTCATTGCTTTTTTCCCATTAAAACACCCGGTAGGATCCCAAAAAAAACCCCACGAAAACAACAAAAAACCAAAAAACACGCCGCAAAACCAACCAAAAAAACCCCCAAAACCCCATAAAACCAACCAAAAAACTCATAAAACCAACCAAAACCTTCTCCATTTTCCATCTTTTATTCCCAAGAAGAGCAGTTTAATAATTTTTATTACTTTTTTTAGGATTAAGTGAACAGATAAAACAGTGAAGAGCTCAAAGTGTGTTGATCCCAAAAAACCCCCGAAACAACCCAAATCCAGCTCGATTTTCCAGCCTTTTATTCCCAAAATGAATCATTCCACAATTCCACGCTGCTGGTTTTTAGGATTAACCCAAAAAAATGGAATTTTGAAGAGCACAGCCTCCATCCCTCCTCCCTCACTCCCTAAAACCACTAAAAACCAAAACCAGCCCCAAACCCACCCAAATCTGGCTCCAATTTTTGATATTTTATTCCCAAAAAGCCACGGAGTGAAGGGTGGAAAATTAACAAATGAGCAGATAATGAAATAATTCAGCATTTTTAGTGGTTTAAAAGTTTTTCCCCATTTTTCAGCCTGTCGGGGGGTGCTCCGTGGGAGGAAAATCCCAAAAAAAGCCGATTTTGGCTCAAAACGGCATCGGCGAAGGCAGCTCGGGGAAACGAGGAGGAGCCGGAGCTGGGGAAGGATTTGGGGGTAAAAAGGGAATTTTGGTGCCCGGTGCCGGCGGCGTTTCGGCGACGCCCGTCATGGAGCGCGGGGGGGGCGGGGGCTGGGGGGGGCAGCGCTGTCGCGACATGTCCCGATAGCGACGGACAGCTGGCGATACCTCGCGATATATCGCGATATCTCCTGATATTCACTGATATCTCCCAATATATCGCGATATCCAGGGAGATCTCCTGATACCTCCCCATACATGGTGGTATCCATCAATATTTCCCGATATATCGCGATATACCCGCCGATATCTGGCGCCATATCGTGACATTCATTGATGTTTCCTGATATATCGTGATATCCAGCGAGATCTCCTAATATATCATGATATCTGGTGGTATTCATTGATATCCTCCAATATCTCCTGATATATCGCGATATCCATCGATATCTCCTGATATATCGTGATATATCTGCCAATATCTCCTAATATATCACATTATATCGCGATATCCCTCAATATCTCCCGATATATCGCGATATATCCGCCTATATCTGGCGCTACATAGTGATATTGATTGATATCTCCCGATATATCGTGATATCCATCAATATCTCCCGATACATGGCAATATCCATCAATATCTCCTGATATATCGCGATATATCTGCCGATATCTGGTGCTAAATCGCGACATTCATTGATATCTCCCAATATATCACGATATCCATCAATATCTCCCCATATATCGCGATATACCCGCCGATATCTGGTGCCATATCGCGATATTCATTGATATTTCCCGATATATCGCGATATATCCGCCGGTACCCGCCGCCATGTCGCGACATGTCGCGACAGCGCCCCCCTAGCGGGGCCTAGGCCAGGCAGGACTCGATGGCGGCCACGACCCGGCGCAGTTTGGGGTCGCTGTCCACGAAGCCATCGCCGTTCTGGGGGGGAGAGACCCCAAAATTGGGGAGGGGGGAGGGGGAGACCCTCCCGATATATCGCGATATCTCCTGATATTCACTGATACCTCCCGATATATCGCGATATCTCCTGATATTCACTGATACCTCCCAATATATCGCGATATCCAGGGGAATCTCCTGATATCTCCCAATATATCGCGATATCTCCTGAAATATCATGATATCCGCTGATACTCACTGACATCTTCCAATATCTCCTGACATATCGTGATATCTCCCGATATATCGCGATATCTGATGATATTCACGGGTACCTTCCAATATCCTCCCGATATATCGCGATATCCAGGGAGATCTCCTGATATCTCCCGATATATCACGATATCTGCTGATATTCATTTGTATCTTCCAATATATCTCGATATATCGCGATATCTGGGGAGATTTCCTGATATCTTCCGATATATCACGATATCCATCAATATCTCCCGATATATCGTGATATCCATCAATATCTCTCGATATATCGCGATATCCATCAATATCTGACGCTATATCGCGATATCCATCGATATCTCCCGATATATCGCGATATATCCGCCGGTATCCGCCGCCATGTCGCGACATGTCGCGACAGCGCCCCCCTAGCGGGGCCTAGGCCAGGCAGGACTCGATGGCGGCCACGACCCGGCGCAGTTTGGGGTCGCTGTCCACGAAGCCATCGCCGTTCTGGGGGGGAGAGACCCCAAAATTGGGGGTGGGGGAGGGGGGAGACCCCAAAATTGGGGAGGGGGGAGGGGCACCCACCTTTTTGGAGTGGACCAGGCGCCCCCCCACGGTCACCTCAAACCATCCCGTCACCTCCGGGGTGCCCTGGCCGCTCTGGGGGGGAGGGGGGCACGTGAGAGACCCCTCCCCAAAATACTGGGGGCCACCCCCACCCCAAAATCCCCAAAAATCCTGGGGACCCCCACCCCAAAAACTCTGGAATCCCCAAAATCCTCTGGATTCACCCCAAAAACCGCGGGATGCCCCCAAATCCCAAATTCGGGACCCCAGCCCCAAATCAGCCCAGCCCCCTCCCCAAATCGGGACCCCAGCCCCAAATGACCCCAGCCCCCTCCCCAAATCGGGACCCCAGCCCCACCACGGCCAGGGCTCCCGGGAAGCGCCGCTCCAGCTCCTGCTTCAGCTTCTCAAACTGGGCTTTTGGGGGGAAAATTGGGAATTTTGGGGGTGGTCGGGGTCCCCAGTGGGGAGGGGGCTCCCCCTGGGTGTTTTGGGGTCCCCCCCGGATTTTGGGGGGTGGGGGGAGTGGCTCACCTTGGGTTTGTAGCCTCAGGCTCCGCTGGGGGATGGGCAGTGAGGGGGGGGGGGAAAATGGGGGGACCCCCCCTCATTTTGGGATTGGGATCCCCCCGGGATTGGGGGACCCTCACCCAGAATTGGGGACCCCCCTCAGGATTGGGACACCCCCTCGGGATTGGGGGCCCTCACCCAGAATTGGGGACCCTCACCCAGAACTGGGGACCCCCCCAGAATTAGGGACCCCCCCCAGAATTGGGGACACCTCCGGAATTGGGGACCCTCCCCAGAATTGGGGACCCTCACCCAGAACTGGGGACCCCCCCCAGAATTGGGGACACCTCCGGAATTGGGGGCCCTCACCCAGAACTGGGGACCCCTCCCCAGAATTGGGGACCCCCCCTCGGTATTGGGAACCCCCCCGGAATTGGGGACCACCCCTCGGGATTGGAGACACCCCCATAATTGGGGACCCCTCCCCGGAATTAGGGACCCCCCCCAGAATTGGGGACACCCCGGAATTGGGGACGCCCCTCGGGATTGGGGACCATCCCTCAGAATTGGTACCCCCAGGGATCAGGGACCCCCCCAAAATTGGGGACCCCCCCCAGAACTGGGGACCCCTCCCCAGAACTGGGGACACTCCCCAGAATTTGGGACCCCTCCCCCAGAATTGGGAACCCCCCTCGGGTTTGGGGACCCCTCCCCAGAACTGGGGACCCTCACCCAGAATTTGGGACCCCCCCAGAATTAGGGACCCCCCCAGAATTGGGGACCCCCCCCAAAATTGGGGACCCCCCGGAACTGGGGACAAACGCAGGATTAAGGACACGCCCCCAGGATTAACGACGCCCACCCCCCAAAACTGCCCCCCCCGGGGATCAGGAACCCCTCCCCAGAATTGGGGACCCCTCCCCAGAATTGGGGACCCCCCCGGAACGGGCCCCCCCAGTTGGGCCCCCCCGGTACCAGTAAAGGACATGGACTGGGAGCGGCGCCATGGCGGCAACTGCGCATGCGCGGGGGGCGGGGCCGCCGCCAGGGGCGGAGAAACCGCAGAGGGACCAGTGAAACCAGTAACAAACGCAGGATTAAGGACACGCCCCCAGGATTAACGACGCCCACCCCCCAGAATTGGAGCCCCCCCGGGGATCAGGGACCCCCTCCCAGAACTGGGGACCCCTCCCCAAAACTGGGGCCCCCCAGTTGGGCCCCCCCGGTACCAGTAAAGGACATGGACTGGGAGCGGCGCCATGGCGGCAACTGCGCATGCGCGGGGGGCGGGGCCGCCGCCGGGGGCGGAGAAACCACAAACCAGTAACACCAGTAAGACCAGTAAACCCAGTGAAACCGGTGAGAGAAACCAGTGAGGGACCAGTGAGAAACCAGTGAGAGAAACCAGTGAGAAACCAGAGAGGGACCAGTAACACCAGTGAGAAACCAGTAAGACCAGTAAACCCAGTGAAACCGGTGAGAGAAACCAGTGAGGGACCAGTGAGAGACCAGAGAAACCAGAGAGAAACCAGTAAAACCAGTATGGGACCAGTAAACCCAGTGAAACCAGTGAGAAACCAGTAACACCAGTAAAACCCAGTGAAACCAGTGAGAAACCAGTGAGGAACCAGTGAGGAACCAGTGAAACCAGTAAAACCAGTATGGGACCAGTAAACCCAGTGAAACCAGTGAGAAATCAGTGAGAGAAACCAGTGAGGGACCAGTGAGAAACCAGTAACACCAGTAAAACCCAGTGAAACCAGTGAGAAACCAGTGAGGAACCAGTGAGGAACCAGTGAGGAACCAGTGAAACCAGTAAAACCAGTATGGGACCAGTAAACCCAGTGAAACCAGTGAGAAATCAGTGAGAGAAACCAGTGAGGGACCAGTGAGAAACCAGTAACACCAGTAAAACCAGTGAGAAACCAGTGAGAGAAACCAGTGAGGGACCAGTGAGAAACCAGTAACACCAGTAAAACCCGTGAAACCAGTGAGGGAGCACCAAAGAAACCAGTGAGAGAAACCAGTGAGAGACCAGTAAAACCAGTACGGGACCAGTAAAACCAGTTCGGGACCAGTGACACCAGTACTGTGACCAGTAAAACCAGTAGGGGGCCATCCTGGAACCAGTAAAAACAGAGGTGGCCCCGGGTGACCCCGGTGGCTCAGGGCCACCCACGGCAGCACGTGGCCAGGGCAGGCACGCGGTGGCCAGGTGACACGGGGTGGCCAGGTGAGCTGCCAGGTGACCCTGGGGGTGGCCACCAGGTGAGCCTGGGGGGGCCAGGTGACCCTGGGGGTGGCCACCAGGTGAGCTCGGGGGTGGCCAGGTGAGCCCGGGGGTGGCCCTGGGGTGGCCACCAGGTGAGCCTGGGGGGGCCAGGTGACATGGGGTGGGACAGGAGTGACCCGGGGGTGACCCCGGGGGTGACCCCGGGTGGCCCCGGGTGGCCTCAGGTGGCCCCGGGTGACCCCGGTGGCTCAGGGCCACCCACGGCAGCACGTGGCCAGGGCAGGCACGCGGTGGCCAGGTGACACGGGGTGGCCAGGTGAGGCCTGGGGTGGCCAGGTGACCCTGCTGGTCATTCCCTGTCCCTGTGTCCATTTCTCTGACCCTGCTGGTCACTCCCTGTGTCCACCCCAAGGATCCTGCTGACCCTGCTGGTCACTCCGGCCACCAGGTGAGCCTGGGGGGGCCAGGTGACCCTGGGGGTGGCCACCAGGTGAGCTCGGGGGTGGCCAGGTGAGCCCGGGGGTGGCCCTGGGGTGGCCACCAGGTGAGCCTGGGGGGGCCAGGTGACATGGGGTGGCCAGGTGAGGCCTGGGGGGGCCAGGTGAGCTGCCAGGTGAGCCACGTGCCTGGCAGGGGACACGTGGCCAGGTGGGGCCAGGTGAGCCAGGCCAGGGGGTCCAGGGCCAGGTGGGACCCCCAGCCCAGGTGCCACCCCCAGTGTCACCCCCGGTGCAGACCCCTCCTCATTCCACCTGTCCCTGTCCCCTCCCCAGGATCCTGCTGACCCTGCTGGTCACTCCCTGACTGTGGTGGTCATTCCCTGACCCTGTGTCCATTTCCCTGACCCTGCTGGTCACTCCCTGACCCTGCTGGTCACTCCGTGTCCCTGTGTCCATTTCCCTGACCCTGCTGGTCACTCCTTGACCGTGGTGGTCATTCCCCAGGATCCTGCTGGCCATAGTGGTCACTCTGTGTCCCCTCCCCAGGATCCTGCTGACCCTGCTGGTCACTCCCTGTGTCCCCCCCAGGATCCTGCTGACCCTGCTGGTCATTCCCTGACTGTGATGGTCACTCCCTGACCCTGCTGGCCATAGTGGTCATTCCCTGACCCTGCTGGCCCTGCTGACCCTGCTGGTCACTCCCTGACTGTGGTGGTCACTCCCTGACCCTGCTGGTCACTCTGTGTCCCTCCCCAGGATCCTGCTGGCCCTGCTGGTCACTCCCTGACCCTGCTGGCCATAGTGGTCACTCTGTGTCCCCCCCTGCAGGATCCTGCTGACGGTGGTGGTCACTCCCTGACCGTGGTGGTCACTCCCTGACCCTGTGTCCATTTCCCTGACCCTGCTGGTCACTCCCCAGGATCCTGCTGACGGTGGTGGTCATTTTCCGCATCCTGATCGTGGCCATCGTGGGCGAGACGGTCTACGAGGACGAGCAGACCATGTTCATGTGCAACACGCTGCAGCCGGGCTGCAACCAGGCCTGCTACGACAAAGCCTTCCCCATCTCGCACATCCGCTACTGGGTGTTCCAGATCATCCTGGTGTGCACGCCCAGCCTCTGCTTCATCACCTACTCCGTGCACCAGGCGGCCAAGCAGCGCGAGCGCCGCTGCTCCGTGCTGCAGCCGCTGCTGGAGCCGCGCCGGCCCCGCGGGGGC